AGGCAGAAGAATTGCCTGAACCCAGGAGGCAGAGGTTGCGGTGAGCCGAGATCGCACCATTGCACTCCAGCCTGGGTAGCATGAGTGAAACTCCGTCTCAAAAAAAAAAAAAAAATTTCAGATCGAGCAATTTTTAGAAAATTACTGAAACATATACAAAGTTAATACTTTGGGAGAATTATAGGATTATAAAAGGAACATTTTAAATTCTTGCACTTTTTATCATGAAAGAATTCTAAGACACTAAAAGGTTTTTTCCTTTTAACCCATAAGAGAATAATAATGTGCAGGAAAAGATGAGATATTTTTGTTATGTAGGCCAATAATTTGGGCTTCAGATTGGAATCCTTTTGAATTTATGTTATTTTCCCTCTCAAGAGAAACCAAGAAGAATAAAATTCTGTGAAACTAATAAACTATCCCAGATGCCTTCAAATGCTCCTTGTTTGTACAGGAACTCCTAAGCAATCACACTTGCCGTCATGAAGTTCTTTTTTGTGGTTGGGTATCTTTTCTTCACTCCTCTTCTTCTGATAGATCCAGTAAAGTTAGCTGGAGAGATCTATATTTGGGAGGCAGGGGAGAAACAAATACATCAAAGAAATACCATCCAGAGCAACAATGAACACATGCTTAATTTTTTAAAAATAATGTTATGGAAGTTTACCAGTGTTTTTCAGTACTGAAAGCAACTTTGTATATTCTTACCTTTCAATAGAAATGCAGCACCTATCTGTCTTCAAAAGGCTGAATTTAAGATTTAATTTTATCTTATCTTATTTTATTTATTTATTTATTTTGAGACAGAGTCTGACCTCTGTCTCCCAGGTTCAAGCAATTCTCCTGTCTCAGTCTCCCAAGGTGCTGGGATTACAGGCATGAGCCACCGCTCCTGACCTGAATTTAAGCTTTTAAAGAGATTTTTTACATTAAATTACTTTTTACCTAATAACCTTTATTTGCTCACTGACCCACATTATCAATATCAATCATTTCTCTTGATATCTGTGATTTTTATTCTTGATGTTTGTACCAACTACAAAAGTTACATGAAGCACACCAACAAAAAGATATCAGAACCAAAATATTAAGTATTTTATTAAAGAGATAAGTGTTTCCTAGGTACCTTTTAGTGCTTAGACTATTTAATGATTAGTGTTTAGCAGAAAGTTTTAAATATATATTAGTGGCAAATATAATTATCTAATTTTCATTTAAGAGTAAAAGGTAGGCCAGGCATGGTGGTTTATGCCTGTAATCCCAGCACTTTGGGAGGCCAAGGCAGGAGGATCTCCTGAGGTCAGAGGTTGAGACCAGCCTGATCAACAAGGTGAAACCTTGTCTCTGCTAAAAATACAAAAATTAGCTGAGCGTGGTGGTACATGTCTGTAACCTCAGCTACTCGGGAGGCTGAGATGTGAGAATTGCTTGATTTTGTGAGGCAGAGGTTGCAGTGAGCCGAGATCGTGCCACTGCACTCCAGCCTAGGTGACAGAGCAAGACTCCATCTCAGAAAAACAAAAAAAAAAACAACAAAAAATAGTAAAAGGTGGCCAGGTGCGGTGGCTCACTCCTGCAATCCCAGCACTTTGGAAGGACAAGGCAGGAGGATCACTTGAGCCCAGGAGTTTGAGACCAGCCTGGGCAACAGCAACATATAATAGGACCTCATCTCTAAAGATAATTTTTTTTAAATAAAAATAAATAAATAAGAGTAAAAGTAATCTTTTATGGGAGGAGAATTATTGGTGTCACTATTTCCCTAGGTAGTGTTTTTGGCCTCCTCCTAAAGACATGAAGGCAGCTTCTTGCTTCATTTCTGGAAGCTTCCACCTCCCTTTCACTTCACATCTCACAGTCATGGTGGGGTGTTAACTATGATTAATTTAGCAATACAAAGACACAGATGCCTCTTCTGGAATTATGCCTCTCAACTCAGACTGCCTGAATTGGTACATAAAAATGAAATGGGGCTGGGCATGATGACTCGCACATACTGGGGAAGCTGAGGTGAGAGGAAGGCTTCAGCACAGAAGTTTAAGTAAGACCAGCCTGGAAAACATGGCAAGAACGCATCTCGAAAAAACGTGTATGTGTGCCTGGGCATGGTGGCTTATGTCAGTAATCCTAGCACTTTCGGAGGCTAAAGCGGGTGGATTGCTCGAGCTCAGGAGCTCGAGACCAGCCTGGCCAACATGGTGAAACCCCATCTTTAACAAAAATACAAAATTTAGCCTGGCATGGTGGTGCACACCTGTATTCCCAGCTACTCAGGAGGCTGAGGCACAAGAATTTCTCGAACCTGGGAGAAAGAGGTTGCAGTAACCCCAGATCATGCCACTGCACTGACTCCAGCCTGGGCGACAGAGCAAGACTCTGTCTCAAAAAAAAAAAAAGAAAGAAAAGAAAAGAAAAAAATACATGTGTGTGTATGTGTGTTGTGTAAAAAATAAATGAATAAATGAAAATGAGATGGAGTTTTTTTGCCCATTAAACTTGCAATATATACACATTTGTCGCCCAGGCTGGAGTGCAGTGGCATGATCTTAGCTCACCACAACCTCTGCGTTCTGGCTTCAAGCTATTCTCCTGCCTCATCCTCCTGAGTAGCTTTGATTACAGGTGTGCTCCATGACACCCAGCTAATTTTTTGTATTTTTAGTAGCGATGGGGTTTTGCCATGTTGGCCAGACTAGTCTCAAACGCCTGATCTGCAGTGTTTCAACTGCCCCAGCCTCTCAAAGTTCTGAGATTATAGGCATGAACCACCATTCCCAGCTAAATAATTGTTAAATAAATTAAAACATTACACTGCAAAATATTCTTTTTCTTTCTTCCGTTTTTTTTTTTTTTTTGGGGGCCAAACAAAAAATAGACCCAAGAATATATTGTTTTAATGCAAAGAAAGCAGAAGAGGAAGAGAGGAACAAAAAAGACATGAGACATATAGAAAAGAAGAAGAAAAATTGCATACATAAGTTCAACCATGTAAATAATAAAATTAAACATGAACTTACAAAATAATCCATTCAAAAGGCAGATAGTGTCAGACTGGATAAAACAAACAAACAAACAAACAAACATGATCTAATCATATGTTCTTTGCAAAGGCATATTTCTGATTCAAAGGCAAAAACAGATTGAAAGTCAAAGGATGGAAAAGGAGACATCGTGCAAGCAGCAACTGTGGGAGAGCCGAAGTGGATATACTAATAATGTCAGAATTTTAAAAATTAACACAAAAATGGTTACTAGAGACAAAGAAGGACATTTATAATACTAAAAGGGTCAGTTGAGGAAGAGAGAACAATTATGAAGATATATATACCAAAAAACAGAGCCCTAAAATACATAAAGCAAAATCTGGCAGAATTGAAAGGAGAAATTGATGATTCAACAATGGAATCAAATTAGAAATCAATAACAAAAGAAATTTGAGAACTTCTCGAATATATGGAAATTAACAACACACTCCTAAACAACTCCTAAAAGACTCACAAGGGAAAAAGAGAGTACTTGGAGATAATTGACAATGAATACTTAGGAAATACAGCTAAAGTAGCACTTGGAGAGAAATTTATACCTATAAAAATCTACAGTAAAAGAGAAGAAAGATCCCAATTGAATACCTAACATTTCACTTAAGACACTAAAAATAGAAGAGCAAACAAAACCTAAATCAAGCAGAAGCAAGGAAATAATAATGATTATAGCAGAAATGAATGAATTGTAGAGTGGAAAATCCATAGCAAAAATCAACGAAACCAAAGTTGCCCCTTTGGAAAGAGCAACAACATTGATGAACTTAATTTAGGCTGACCAAGAATAAAAGAGAAAAGACTCAAACTACTACTCTGAAATGAAAGAGGGGACATTGCTACTAACCTTACAGAAACAAAAAATAATTTTAAGAAAATACTATAAACAACTGTGTGCCAACAAATTTGAAAACTTAGATAAAATAGACAAATTCCTAAAAAGATACAAATTTCCAAAACTGGCTGGAGAAGAAATAAAAATCCAAAATAGATTTATAACAAGAAAAAGGCCAGGCATGGTGGCTCTTGCCTGTAATCCCAGCACTTTGGAAGGCAGGGGTGAACAGATCACGAGGTCAGGAGTTCGAGACCAGCCTAGCCAATATGGTGAAAACCCTTCTCTACTAAAAATACAAAAATTAGCCGGTGTGGACACATGCCTATAGTCCCAGCTACTCGGGAGGCTGAGGTGGGAGAACTATTTGAACCTGAGGGGGCAGAGGTTGCAGTGAGCCGAGACCACAACTTTACACTCCAGCCTGGGTGACAGAGTGAGACTCCATCTCAAAAAAAAGAAAAAAGAGAGAGAAAAGTAGATGTAAATCTTTGTGACCTTCAATTTCTTTTGAAAAAATATATAATACATAAAGAACACGCTACCAAAGAAAACATAGACTAATTTGACTTCAATAAAATTAAAAACATTTTTTTGCTTCAAGGACAACACCAGGAAAAGACATCCACAGAATGGAAATAAAAAATATTTGCACACTACATTTCAGATGAGGGCCTTGTATTCAGAATATATACATATTGTCTTGTATTCAGAATATATATATATATATATATATATATATCTTACATTCAGAATATATATATTCAGAATATATATATATATATCTTACAGCTCAACAATATAAAAAATAATCCAACTGAAAAATGGGCAAAGGATTTAAATAGCCATTTCTTCAAAGAGACACAAATATCCCATAAGCACAGGAAAAGACTCTCAGAATTTTTAGTCGTTATGGAAATGCAAGTCAAAACCACAATAAGCTGTCCTTCACACCCTCTGGGATAGCTATAATAGCAAGTGTTGGCAAGTATGTGGAGAAATTAGAACCCATATCTACTGCTGGTGGGAATCTGAAATGATGCCACTGCCTTGGAAAACAGCTTGGCAGTTCCTCATATGACCCAACAATTCTTCTCTTTTATTCCCAGAGAACTGAAAACATATGTTCCAACAAAAACTTATACACTAATATTCACAACAGAATTATTCATATTCACCGAAGAGTGGAAATAACCCAAATATTCATCAATAGATGACCGGACAAACAAAATGTGGTTTTTCCACATCATGGATTTGTATTCAGCCATAAATTGGTGTGGAGTCTTGATGCATGCTACTACATGGATGGGCCCTGAAAATATTAAGTGAAAGAAGCTAATCCTAAAGATCATGTATCACAGGATTTCATTTACATGGAATATCCAGAATACGGAAATCTATAGGGACAGAAAGTAGGTTAGTGGTTGTCTAGGACTGGAGAGCTGAGGAGAAATGGGAAGTGCCTGCTAAAGAGTATGGGTTTTTTTTATAGGATGATGAAATGTTCTGAAATTGATCATGGTGATGGTTGCACAACTTAGGAGTATAGTAAAAGCCATTAAATTGTATACCTTAAATGGGTAAATTGTCTGGTGTGTAAATGATATCTGGAAAAAAATTAAATATACATATTCTCACAATTCCACTTCTAGGAATATTTTGTAAGAAAATAAGTGTGCATATGTTCAA